CGAAGTAAACAAGTCTGCCCCAATTTCGTTTTGTCACCCTATCGGGCACCCTTGTAGTTGTAATTCATAGGGCATTTCTGATCTAGCCTCAATGGTGTCACGGACAGTGTCTCTCAAAGCGTGACGGTTGGCGGCAGCGGATCTGGATAGCTCCACTCAGTCTCTTCTTCAATGGCAGGGGCCGAAAAGCGAAGGTTCCAGAACCAATTTCATGTATTGACGAATAGTGTCAACCCGATCTCTTTAATTGTCCTCCTCTTCGAGGTCTCCAGGTAAACCGGCGCGCCCAGATCGAGGACAGAATAACAAAGCTCGTAAGGCGGACGACGGAGAATCTGTCCAATCTACTTCAATCGTCTGGCCTGAGATATCTTCGCTATACTGTCGCGGCGAGTACGGGCTCTCTCACTTGAGACGAAGGATGGTCCTCAGGCGGCGGTGGTCAAAACATCCAGTCTTCGCTCATCTTTAAAGTGCAAAGCTCGGCATCCACAATCGTACACAACGATACACATGGATTTTCATGAAGATGGAAATTTCGCTCCGGATGCATAGGCTTTTTTGGGCAATAAAGAAAACCCGGCAAGCAACATGTATTTTGGACGACAATTTCGTCCCTACACTGTTTATCACGCAACAGTCTCACCCCTAGGTATTTAAAGCTGTCTTCTCATTACATGGAACGGCTATTAATCTCCAGGATGGTCTTCTCCTGGTCAGGGATGCAACTCGGACCCTTGCATTAGCACCCAACACTAGCGGTGGGCGTTACATCATCTTTTACGAATCGCACACTGTTTTGGATATTAGTTAATCATTCTTTAGTTCCAGTCAATCTTGTTTTTTTGAGAGGAGACATTAGTTTCAAGATATCATAACAGATGATAAGTAAGTACAAAAGAGGCCAAGCTGCATTTTTTCAGTTTTAAAGACAGCAGAAAACCAACCTGTTCATCAATGATATCAAAAATGAAAATATCCCCATTGCTGATTACTGCCAAGTGGCGGCTGTTAGGAAAATTTCGAAGTTCGTCCTGTTCTGGAATCGCAATTCGGGTGGAACTGAACAGACTCTCAAACTGACTCATGTCCAGGGGGAAAGCCTATAAAAGACACAGTAAAATGACCAGTTACATGCTGGTGAAATTATAACCAAAATTAGTTACTTATTCTCCAGCTAGTAATAATAGTTTATATGACAAACTATGGGGATATGTGGTTGTGGTAGGGAAGGTTGGTAAATTAATCCAAATGATTAAAATCACTGTACATTGCCTTTCGCTGGCCGTAATTAGACGAAAGCTGGTCGTAGATTACAGTGCTTTTACTGTACAGTATAAGAAAACGGGTACAACAGAAGAAAAAAGCAGAGTAAAAATTCCCGAACCTGAGGAAAAATATACTTGCATAATTCTAATGTTGTTTAATATTACTTTGGGCAATGATTTCTTTTGAGCCTGCCTAATGGCAAAAAGTTCCTCCAGACAAGCTTCTTACGGAAATTGTGGTTAATGGTTTAACGATTGAGTAAGGCGTGGGTAATGCGTGTCCAACGCGGGATAAGTGCCCATTAGAACCACTACTATTGGTTAGCCTAACCAAGGAAGTGTTTAGATAGGCGTAAAATCGACCTGATGAAAATTTGGAAGTAGATTTTCATTATTGAGCGCAGACAAAAGCGGCCTTACAAGAAAACCCTGCCTTGCTTTGCTTAGTATGGTCTCGCAAAAAGCAGACCGCTCACTGACGCCGGAAACCTGCAGATTGTTTTGCTGAGTGTGTGAAAGATACCAAATTTGCCGAATTTAATTGTACTGTTTATGTACTCATTACATTCTCTACGGTGGTAAGGCCAGTTGGCAGACAAACGCACCTTAAACAAGTAAGCGCCGTACGTCGCAATAGAACGAGGTAGCAGTCCGACGAAACGTTCGAAGGCTGCAGTATCGGATTTTCGGGGATTTAAATGGTAGACTTCAGGTTTAAGTTTTCCGGCCCGGTATGTATCCAGAAATCGGAGAGAGCTGCATATCAAGTTGGTAGCACGGAGAGTGGGCTGTAAAAAAATCAAGCGTTTCAGGTAAAATCGAAATGAAGTCACTGCATATTTAACAATTAATCTAGCGTTTACTAACGTCTGAAGATCAGATGAATAAACTGGTGTGCATAGCATACTAGGCTATGAAAGCCAGTAGCTAAGTGTGCCAAACCTTAATAAGTCATTATCATTATTGCATTTATGTTGCCGTCGGCTTTACCCGTTTGATTTGAGATCGATTACTTTCTCTTAAATTGATATGAAATAGGGGTGGAATGTTTTTACCTCCAACTAAATTTGACTTCAAGCTGCTCAACTTAAGGTTCTGCAGCTGGGTGTATGATAGCAGCTTGGTGAGTTCTGCCGAAACTGATTACGCCATGATTCAGATCATTTTCTGGTTCGTACAAATATCAAGGCTCATATTACAGGCACGCGCAAAATTTCACGTGCATAACGTATCTGTGTCCGAAAAATCCAGCAACGCCAAGACCTTCGGCTGAACTAACGGATAGGGCAGTAACCAGTGATCGTCGTTGAAGTCCTTAGTGCATGGGGTGGCTGAGAAACGTCTTCGATGCATCCAGCAGCCTCAAAGTTAGTGGAGCAAGGTAAAACAGACAGCTCGGACAGTCTACCCCAGGTCCCGCAGCAATTCCTTCTTGCGCAAGCCCCAGAAAATGACCAACAAGGTCAGCGACGATTGACCGGAAAACATATTGAGCCGAAATATTAATATTCTTGGATCAAGCTTTAATGATACTCGAAAACATCCAGATTTTTTGCCATTT